GATCTGGGGTTTGCGCCCCGGCTCTTCCTGTTCCTGCCGCGCCCTCTTCCCGGCCGACCGTGGGGCGGGGACGGGCAGGGCCGGGCCAGTGCGCGGCCGGGCGGGCGGGCGGCGGGCGGCGGTGTCACCGCGGCCGCGGGACATGACGGCCGGCGGCCAGGAAGCGGGCGCGGGCGAGGAGCCGGGCGCGGCGCGGCTGCCGTCCCGCCTGGCCAAGCTGCTGTCGGCGCTCTTCTACGGGACCTGCTCCTTCCTCCTCGTGCTGGTCAACAAGGCGCTGCTGACCGCCTACGGGTGAGGCGGGGCGGGCGGGCGGCGGGGCGCCCTCGGGGAGCGGGAGCGCGGCGGCCACGCCCGGCCCTCCGCCCGCGCGCTGGCCCCGGTGTCGCGGGGCCTCGCGGGCCGCCGCAACTTTCTGCACGCGAACACAGCCTGACAAAGTCCGTCTCCTCCTGCCGAGCCCCGGCACAGGGCGCGCTGCTGCGGGACGCCCCGCCGCGGTGCGCTCCCACGGCCACGCCACGGCCACGTGCTTTCAGACACACCATCGAGCTGAAAATGCGAGCCAGATGTGCGTTACAGAGTGAGCGGTTCCTTATACAAATCTAGATGTTCAACGGTCGGATTAGTCCCGAGCCGATCGGTCTGTTTGTGTTGACTGACCATTCGTTCTCAAATGACCAGCCAGCTCGGGGAAGACAATTAGAAGTTCACATGGTGTACTTTTTTGGGATTAGTGTGAAGTAAACCAGCAAATTTGTGCTTCTTCCTTGAACTTAGCTGTAAGGACTAGAAAATCCTGTTTCATTCTGCTGGTTTAGTAGCAGCACTGAAAGAATTGTGGATTTAGACCCAGCTCCGCCAGCTAATGGCCCTGTCTCTCGTGGCCAGTCCTATAGTCAGCCTTTTTTTTCAAATGTAAATGGATAATTCCAACCCAGTTATTACCTTCCAGGGCTTTGCAGGAGCTGTCGTAAATGAGGGCTCTTTGTAAACCATACTTACTGTGCCACAAAAATGTAACATCAAAATTTTAGAACCCAAAGAGACCTAAGAGAGTGTCTTCAGCTTTGTTATTTTAGATTTGAGAAAACTGAAACCCACGTGAACTCGGTCAGTAACACCCCCAACAGACATTTACTGAGAGCCTACTATGTGCGGAGCCCACTGAGGCACCAGGGAAGCAGCCCTGGAAAGCACAGAGCCCCTGCTCTGCTGTTTCAGTGTCAGTGGTGGGGACAGAAAATAAACGAGTAGATTCCTGAATAAACAAGGAAGTTTCAGATAGGATCTGAGAGTGCCTAGGGTGGAGTAGTTACCATGGAGCATTCCGGACGGAAGGGAGCAGTGATGTGGAAGTGGGTACCGGCTTGGTCTGCTGAAGGAACAGGAAGAGGTCACTGTGGCTGGACCTGAGGGAGTAAGTGCCAGAGGGAAGTAGGCAGGGAAGGCAGGAATCAGATCCTTCTTTCATTCAGTAGTATTTACTAAGCACCTGCGATATGCTAGGCACTGTTCCAGGCACTTGGGAAACCAAAGTGAACAGAGCAGATCAAAATCCCCAACCTCAGGGAGCTTACATCCTAGTGGACCAATACGTAACCAATACGTAAAGGAGTAACATGTCAGATGTGGCCGGTGTTCTGCAGAAAAAAATAAGGCAGGAAAGGGTATTGGGGAGTGGGAGAGAGTTTGTAGTTTTAGGTGGTGTGATCAGTGAAGCCTCACTGAAGAGGTGACATTGGAGCTGAGACTCGGGCGAGCCACATGGCCAGCTGGGGCATGTGACACAGGTAAGTGACTCCCAGTGAATGCTGGGAGCCACTTGAAGTCCAAGTGGGTCCTTGGCTTTGTGCAAGAAAGAATTCAGGAGCGAGCCAACAAAAGAAAGGGAAAGCAAGATTTATTCAGAAGCTATCGAAAGTTAGAAAGTCTACTTCACAGGCAGAGCAGAGGCAAGTTCTCCCTGTAGAAGAGAACCGGCCCCTGCAGAGGAGGACCAGCCCCTGGTTCCTGTTGTCTATTTAAGCAGTGGGCTAACCCAGGAGAAGAATATTCATGGAAGGGGCAGTTTCTCTCTTGGTTCTAACTGGTTGGAACTTGGCCTGCTTTTATCCTGTTTGATCAGGGCAATTAGAAGCTTTGTTTTGAGACTTCCTGACTCAGCAATGCAATGCTGTGGCAATGCCATGCCGAAAGCAGGACCTGCCATTCCAGGCATGGAAGGGTGAAGAGTTTGGGTGGGAATGGTACTGAGTGGGATCTGAGAGTCACTAGACTGTGCAGGGCCTTGGAGGCCACTGTGAGGGCCCTGGTGTCCGCTTTGAGTGAGGTGGGGCCATGGGAGCTGTCAAGCAGGGGAGTGACAGGATCTAAATCCCTCTGGCTGCTGTGTTGAAAGCAGATATTGGGGGACCAAGATGGAAGCAGGGATTCTGTGGATAAATAGTTTCAGTTTGAGTGTAAATGCAATTGGAAGTCCCTTGGAAGGTTTTAGTAAGGGAGTGACCTGACATAATTTAAGTGATTAAAACGATTTCATTGGTGGCTGGGTGGAGAACCGATGGTAGTAGCAGCGGGGCGAGGGGCTAGGAAGCCTTTGCGGTGCTGTAGGTTTAGGCTCGGACTGGGTGGGCCGTGGCAGCAGACGTGAGAGAAACGGATGGTTTGGGATATTTTTTGGTGATCCTATGGCTGTTGATATTCTTTATAAGGCCTCTGCCAGCGTGTTGCAACATGTTGCTTGGTGTCTGTGGGAAACACAAAGCTTGCCTCAAAGAAAGGAACAGGTACATACTGTTCCTAAACCTGGATCATTGAACACATACAATGCAAGCTAACAAAAAAAGAAAAGAAAAGAAAAACACCTACAATAAAAAAACAAGAGACTGCTATTAATGAGCTTGTCTGGGAGTGGCCAGTACCTATTTCAAATGCAGGTTGAAGATAAGTCTTCACTTTCTTCTCTAGAGTCAGTGAAGTGCCAACTGGGCACAGCAGTCAGTGCCTCTGAGAACACGTGTCCTCTTGTTGGAAGCAAGTGACGGTAAACACTGGCCAATGCTCTGAGGGTGAAGGGCAGTGTCCAACCAGAAAGAATTAATATATGAGACATCATATACTCTAACCTTTCCTTCTTTAAAATTCTGAGTTCCATATTGAAGGAGAAAACAGAGTTTTTGCCTTAGGGAGGCGCAGACCCTTATTAACCTTGTAAGTAAACATTTCACATTTCTGCAACATATTAATAATATATTATACAACTGGAGAACACTGTTCAAATAATATAGTTCATTCTCTCCTCTCAAAATACTTTAGGCACAAATTTTTGAGGGGAGGAGGGTTGGGGTGATGTGGTTACAACAATAAACCATAGAAATCTGGTCTAGCTGTTTGAGGACAGAATGTTGTGTTGTAGGATAAAGAAAGGACCTTTGGTAATTATCTAAGTCACAGGGTCATGGGAATGTAGCTGGGGGATGTTTTTCTTCCTTCCATTTTGGGCAGATTGTTTCTGGCTGGAGTGCAAACTGATGGGTGGTCTTAGTTATTTGTTAGTTTTAGTTCATTTGAATGCCAGATTCACCTAGAACAGAGAGGCCTTTGAAGAATGTGAACTGTTGGTGTTAGAGGGGAAGGCCATCTAGGCGTCTGTGGCCATCTAGGTTGGTCACACTCTTGGTCTTTCAGGATCAGATTCATGAGGGCTGTGCAGGTGGTCAAGAGTTGGGTGGGTTTTTTTTTTTCCATTTTAATATCATACTCTATGACATGAAAGAATTTACTAATGATGTTTAATAAAAATATCTATCAACCTTAGCTGTACTCAGTTCAACAAATATTTGGTCAGGATTTGCTGTGTGCATTTGCTTCATTATGTATCCCTGGACTTTGAGATCTTTTAACACACTGGTTTCCAAATGTGCCTGGTAGTCTGGTAGTAATCACATGGAGAGTTTTTATAAAAAGCTACTGAATCGGAGTCTTCATTGGTGGGAACTGAAAGTCTATATTCAAAAACAAAACCAACCCCTAATTGTCTCTTACTTTAATGGAATCCTGGCTCTCTCCTGACTCTGCCCCCTCACTCCCGTAGATGGGGCTGGGTCTTCTTCCCCCGGCTCCTCCTAGCCTTGGCCAGGAGGTGGGCGTGGGTCTCCTAGCTCCCTACTGCTCATGCTCTGTTGAGACTGGCTTTACCATCCTTTGTGTCCCCTCTGTACTGGCTCCTGGTGATTGATTTAGTGAAGACAGTCTTCCCCTCCACCTGGACTTGGGTCAGCCTTCTAGAGACTTTAGGATCTGCACACTGAACCATCACGGTCTGTTCTGGTCTCCAACAAACTCTCCTGTGCTCCACTTCCCACGGCTGCTCCCGGGACCCTGTCCTCACAAGTAAACATGCCACCCTGTTAACGGAAAAAAAAACCCCAAACTCTGCAAAATAATTTAAAGAGGTTTATTCTGAGTGTATGTGACTGCAGCCCAGAGCACATGTTTTCAAGAGGTTCTGAGAAAACCTTCCCACAGTAGCCAGGTTACAGTTTGGTTTTATACATTCATGGAAACAGGGATTACACTCAAGATCATAAGTTAATACGTAGAAGGCATATGCTGGTTTGGCCCAAAAAGGCAGGATATCTCGAAGAGGGGGGAGACTTACAGGTGGGCTTAAAGATTCTTTGATTTTTAATTGGTTAAAGAAATGAAGCTTTATCTAAGGCTTGGAATGTTTTAAGGATGTCTACTAATCAGAGACAAGCCATGACACATACACTTAGACTCAAGCGATCTATTAAGTGAAGTGATGACCTGCAGGTGTGGTTTAAGTTCTGTCTTGCATGGCCTTAGGCCCGTTAATGAATTAGTATCTTATTTTTACAAAGAATAACTCTAACAAAAGAGAGGGAGGGGGCATGATGAGGGATATCTGACCTCCCTTCTCTTCATGGCCAGCAACTCAGCTCTAAGGTTTTTCTGGGCTCCCCTTGGCCAAGAGGGGGTCCATTTTTCAGCTAGCTGGGGGACTTAAGATTTTATTTTAGTTCACACCCCTAAGACCTCCACTGCACGATATCCACTCCCTGACCTCGCAGGGCCTCCTCCTCACTTACTTCCGGTTGTATCTGTCCCTCCTGGCATCGCTCCTCTGCTCAGCCTGCTGAGAGCACCCTTGGGCTTGCGCTTGTCATCTGCTCACTTCCTTCAGCACTCTAGCAGCTCCGAGTGTCCTGATCTGGGCTGGCTGGTGTGACTTCCAGTTGATGATCAGGAACCTCTTGGGGCCCTCCTTAGTATCTGCTGGTTGCTTTCTTTGTCTCAGAAATGAATCTTTCACACTTTCTCATTCATCTGGAAGGCTTCCCATGTCCCCTTCCACCCTCTTCTTTCTCCGATCCTTTACTGAGAAAATAGAAACCATCAAATGAGGGCCCCTCCTCTCCTTTGGCTCCAAGGGAGGGAGCATTTTCTCCCAGTGGCAGGTCAAGCTTTCTGCATGTCTCTGGTTGCCCACTCGTCTGTCTTTGGGCTCTAGACTAATGCCAAAGTAGCCATAAAATGCCACACACCCTATAGTCCAGCAGTGTATAGTCAGTCGCTAGCCAATGTCATCTCTGTAACCCAGTGAGAATTCCTGACAACAACTTTTGTAATCGCTCCTCCTCCTGATTTGTCCTTTTTTTCTTTAAAAATGTTTTTTTTCCTCTTCCCTGCCTCTTTTCTGGCATTAGTGGCCTCTGTTTCTATCCGCGCAAAAGCACGCTCATGTTTCTCAAGCAAACAAAACCCCACTCTTGATCCCACATATAGCCCCTTTCTCTGCTTCTTTCAGAGTGTCCACCTAAAATAATGAAAAAAGTGGGAATTTAATTTAAAGAGAGTCTGTTTAGACACAAAGGTTGAGGACTGCAGCCTGGGACACACTTCCAGTTTGCCTTGGGGAGTGCTGTGGAGAACACCAAGAGAGGCTCAAGTTTTTAAAGAAAAAAAGGACAAATCAGGAAGGGGAGCGAGTATAAAAGTTGTTGTCAGGAATTCTCACTGGTTTACAGGGATGACGTTGGCGAGCGATTGACTATACACTGCTGGACCATAGGGTGTGTGGCATTTTATGACTACTTTGGGATTAGTTAGTCTAGAGCCCAAATGGCAAGTGGCTTTAAGAGGTAATTATTTAGCTTGAGGGGAGTGATCTGACTGCTGTTTCGTTCCAGTGCCTGATAATTTGAAGGGGCTCACATTCCTCAGATAGAAAATTCTCCCCCCCCCATAATCTCAATTGTCCCAAAGATGTTTTTATGATTGTTTTTAATACTTTAATCAACACCCAATCAAGGCTTATGCAATGCATACTTTATGTCTTTTTAGTTCATTTTAAACTAGAAAAGTCCCCATTCCACTCACCGCCCCCACCCATGATAACTTTTTGAAAAACCTGGGTTATTTGTTTTCTAAATGTCACATATTGTGGATTGTCTGATTTATTTTCTGAAGTCTTAATTAACTTATTTTCCTCTGTCCTCTAACTGAAAGTTACACTGAGAGGCTTGATTCCATTCAGTTTAAACCTTTCTGGCAAGGCTACTTAATAGCTGACCCTGTGAACTTCGCATTGCATCCTGTTGGGGGTCATCGCAATGCTAGTCACATTGGCTGCATTGGAAGGCTTACAGTGGGGATTGCAATAGCATCTGTATGAAATTCAGTTTTAACTGAGGTGAATGGAGAAAAGAGAAATTGAAGTTCAACTCAAAGAATTGTTGACTTTCAAATATATTTTCTTCACTACAATGGTTACTATTTCTTCAAAGATACCTCTAAGATTAAAAGGTTGTGAAAAACATTAAGTTTAAGTCATTATGTTTATTTTAAACCCGTTTCAATTGTTGGTAACATGTATGATCTCCCTGCTATGAAAGATGAAACCGAGTGCAACTCCTATAAGGCTGGTGGCAGGCCCCCTCCTCTCCCTAGGTCAAAAAAGAAAAGGCTCAGGAGACCAGACCCACCAAGGACAAAACCACCAGGCCAGGCCAGCGGAGAGGTGCCACACCCAGATGTCCACCCGGATAAGAAAGTTTCGGCTCCTGGATTCTGCAAATACCGCCAGCCCCTCCTATTTCTCAATGACCACCAAAGGTCGCCCCAGCTCTTCCCGCCAAAAGTCCGTAGCCCGCCCAAACGGTATAAAAGGCTGCAACCTCTTCAAACGGAGGTGACTTCTGGGGTCCCCCTCTCTTGGGGCCCCAGAACCTTGTCTGGGAGCACTAAATAAAGCCACGTTGTTTGGCTCCACTCTTTCTCTCTGTCTGTCTTTTCTTTTCACCGCTGTTGGAAAACTTTACAACTCCTTCCCGCTCTTCTGCCCTCCACATCTTGTTTTATAATGTAGCACACAGTAATTATAAACCCCATCCTTGTCTGAATCTGTTCTATATATTTAAATGGATACTGTAGCCATCAATAGTTCTTTTACCACAATGTCTCCATTGCCAAGTTCATGATTTTGATTTGACTCCCCATTAGTGGCATTCCCTTTTCAGGTTTTTTTATGGAAAATTCATGGCTGCTATTACTATGTTAATTGTGTTGAGCATTCTTTAATAGATTTTTCTGTAGCACCTTGTGCTTTTAGATATGAAGATTCAGTTTAGTTTTTTCCCTTCATGTCAGGGAAACTAATTTCTCTTTTATCTTTGAATCATCTTCTTTCTTTCTTTTTTTAAAAATTAAAATAAAAACTTTAAATTGTAGGGTAGTGGTTTGCTAAGTTGCCCAGGTTGGTTTTGAACCCTGAACTCATGGCCTCTAGTGATCCTCTGTCCTTGGCCTTCCAAAGTCCTGGGATTACATACAGGTGTGAGCCACAGCACTGGCCCATCTTCTTTCTTTATTGAACTGTTTAATGACTCAAGACAGTTATGCAACTTTATTTATGGAATAAAGTTTGATTTAAAGTTATGGGATGTATTAATAATTTTCTGTATTCCAGGCACAGTGATTAGTCCTATATGATATTGTCTGTCTTCTGTATCTATTTATCTTTTAGATTGTCTTTTTTCTCAGCCTGCTGTGATTACCTCAGGTGTTGGTAATTCAATTTTCAACAGTGGCCCTTGATTCCTTGATGTTTCTAAAGGTAATATATTCATGTGGCAGTCATGTTGTTTTGGTCCTCAATTAGTGTTTTCTTAGATTCGTATGCTCATCTCCATTGACTTTTATCAACTCGATTTTAAACTCTTGCCTTATTGATGTCTTATTCTTACTAAGGTATTCTATAGAGTTCCTTCTCTTCCATTTATTATGTTTTCTTCTAGGCCAGGCTCTTTGCCTTATCTTCTGTAAGCCTTTTTTGTTGTTGTTATTGCTTTACTGTTTGTTTATTTATTTATTTTTTGAGACAGAGTCTCACTTTGTTGCCGGGGCTAGAGTGCCATGGCATCAGCCTAGCTCACAGCAACCTCAAACTCCTGGGCTCAAGCAATCCTTCTGCCTCAGCCTCCTGAGTAGCTGGGACTACAGGCATGTGCCACCATGCCTGGCTAATTTTTTCTATATATTTTTAGCTGTCCAATTAATTTGTAGTAGAGACGGGGTCTCGCTCTTGCTCAGGCTGGTCTCGAACTCCTGAGCTCAAACGATCCACCCGCCTCGGCCTCCCAGAGTGCTAGGATTACAGGCGTGAGCCACCGCTCCCGGGCTGTGTTTTACTGTTTGTTTAGACTGTTGTCTTGTTACTTTGCTTAATGGTGCAAGTTTTATTCCCTGAGATGTGTGGGAAGTGCATTGAGGAGTCCTCTTCCCCAGTACACTTGGGGGAAGCAGGCTTAGGCAGAGGGAGAAGTTGGGCTGTAATACAGTCACAATAAAGGCCTGGTCCCAGGAACTCAAACTGGCATGGCTCTGCGGAGTTTTGTCCTGAATTGGGGTGGGGCCCCTGGCTTTTGTACCCCTTTATGGACTGGCAGTTGGACTGCAGACTTCTGTGGGGAAGTGGATGTGCTACTGTCAGGCAGCTTGCTTAAGGGAAGGATCCAGCTGGGGAATGAGCCCTTCCGTCCGGAGGGGGTGTATAGGTGGCACAACCCAGAATCCACTAGAGTTAATTTTATTCTCACGATGGTACTGTCCAGCCATTCATTCTGTTTTCTCTGATGAGGTAATTTTGCTCTTCATTCCCTTCTCTAAACCCTATCCAAGACAGGTGTGTTTCTGACATACAGCCTGAGGACTGAGTTTTTTGATGGTATTTAGCCTTTTTAGTAGCATGAGAGAATGGGAGCCGGCAAAGAGTTGAGCAGTGGATGAGCAGGTGGAGTGATGTGCTGCCTTGTTTAGTATGATGTGAGGTAGGGGGTCCGAATTCCATACCCAAATTACTCAGTGCCATTTGTTGAAAGACCATCTTTCCCCACTGTTTTGCCGTGTCATCTTTGTCATAAATCAAGTGTCCATATATGCATGTGTCTGCCCTGATCTCTGTTCTGTTCCTGTTGGAACACTGTCCCTTGCAGTTCATTGCACATTGTCGTCCTACCGGACTAGCGTTGTGCAAATACCACACAGTCTCATTTATTGTAACTTTGAAATGAATCCTGACGTCCATTAGAGTCATTCCTCCAACTTTGTGCTTTTTTAAGATCATCTTGGGTGATTTTTGCTCTTTATCTTTCTGTTCAGTTTTAGGACCAGCTTGTCAGTTTCCGCAAATTTCTTGCTGGTATTTCTGCTGAGATTGCATTTATTTTATAGATCACTTTGAGGATAATGGACCTCACTACACTATTGTATTTCCAACCCATGACCTTTATTTAGGTCTGCTTTAATGTTTTTAATATCAATTTATAATATTCCATATAGAAGTCTTTTTTGCAAATCTTTGATTGGATTTGTTCCTGGGTATGTTATTAAAAAATAATAGTATAATGAATTATCATGTAGCCGTCACCAATTTTGAACAACCTTTTTTGCATTTGTTTTCCTCTGCCACTCACTCCCACCATCTCCAGATTATTTTGAAGCAAATTAAAAATATACCATCATGTGCATTTCAAGAATAATGGCTCCTTTATTAAAAAAAAAAAACCCAAAACTATTTCATAGCTGAAAAAGTAATAATGTTTCCTTACTATCATAAAATACCCAGTTAGTGTTATTTAATGTATTTTTTGGCGCTGTTATCAATGATGGCTTTAAAATTTTCATTTTCTTTGTTTCTTTCTGGTATATAGATATGTAACTGATTTAAAAATATATATTCATCTTGTATTCAGTGACCTTTCTAAAGTTATTAATTTTAATAATTTATCAACAGATTATTTTGTTTTTTCTGCATACACAATCATGTTGTCTATCAATATAATGACAATCTGTCTCAAGGGACGATAGAAAATTACTAAGTTTAGCAACAATCTGTTGAAAAAATGAAAAAAATGAACAGATAAAAAGTGAACAAATTTGATAAGTTTTCATTGTCTAAGACTTTAATAACTCCTGTCATATATTATGTACTATCTTTAAATTTTTATATATTTCTAAAATGATGTGTTATTCTATGTTCTTTATAGTTTCCCCTCACCAATTGTCCTTGGAATTGGACAGGTAAGTGAAAAAATTAAATTAACCTCTTTAATTAGTCATCAGTGTACATGAGACATTTTAAGTGCTTTTGTTTAAGACTGTGGTTTACAAATTTATTCAGCTGGCAGAGGACCAGCAGATCGTAGTACTGTTGGCGACACAACATAAAATATTGTCTATATAAAATATATATATATAATATAATTTAGGAACAGTTGTATTTGTGGGAAAAACAGCTACTTAACTATAAGCTTATATTAATTGAATTAATTACTCTAAAGCCAGGGACCACAAGACACAAAGCCTCCAAGGCCTGATGAGTAACAAATGAGTGGGTCGAGGTCCAGGGTGGAAGAGGAAGAATACTAGTCCTACTGAAAGTGTGCACCAGATGCTTAGCTTAAGCCATTGTGCCTGTGGGAAAAGGTTTGGGGAGATGAGATGGGACCCTCCATGCCCTTATTATCAGAGTTTGGGAGGTATTTCAAGGGAAAGAAGAAATTTGAACTTTTACATTAAATTTCCAAATTCGTGAATGCTGGCAACTGATTCAAATTTTTACAAAACTCCATATGGGCCAAACAAGACATGTTTGCAGTTTGCTGCCTGCAGGTTGTGATTTTTTGCTCTCAAGTACGAAGATGAGCTTGGATAAGTTTCAAACTCAGCTCATTTGGCTGTTTCTGAAATCCCCCTTTAATATTAATGTGTGGTGCATTTATTTGTTTGGGGGTATGCTGCTGATTTCCAGACAAGCAGTAACACGCATCAAGGGCTTTTTGGTTTTGCTTTAATTTATAGGGGGGAAAGCTTAAAATTAACAGAAAATTGTACCTGTTAACTAAATTTTTAATTGTGAATCTGGAAAAGTCCATCGTTTATATTAACATTATTAACATTATTCTGGATAAATGTTTTGCTAATAAGTAACTCTTTGGAACATCATTTTAGGAAGAAAAAATTACAATGAGAAACCAATGTTTCCTTATAATAAAAAAATTATGTTTCAACATAAAAATATGTAGCCAAAAAGCACTTTTGAAAAAGATCAGTGAGTATATGATAATGGACTCTTTGTAATACCCAACTCAAATAAATTCACTGTTCTTTAATGCATTGGTTTATACTCAATTAAAGTAAAGCCTTTCTGATTTGCAATTTGTTGATGGAAGAGGCCAGTCAGATTTGATTTTAAAAGTCTGAATTACATTTATTTTAAATGTGTTAGTGTATTTCTCTAAGAATTATAAAGAGGCATAAATACAAAGTACAATTGTAATTCAGGATCAACTTGACTTACATAAATCTACCATAAGATTTAGGATTATAATCATGTTGAAGGAACTCTTAAATTTTTGCATCCTAATATGGAGAAAATTGAGTAAGTTCTAAAACTCGCCTAGGAAGCTGCTATCAATTTTTTTTTTTTTTTTATTTTGGCCAAGTGTGGTGCTGTAATCCCAGTGCTTTGGGAGGGAGAGATGAGAGGATCACTTGAGGCCAAGAGTTCGAGACTAATCTGGACAACACAGTGAGACCCTATCTCTACAAAAAATCTGAAAAATTAGCCAGGTGTGGTGGTGCATGATTGTAGTCATAGCTACTCAGGAAGCTGAGTTGGTAGGATGGCTTCATGCCAGGAGTTTGAGGTTACAGTAAGGGTGAGCTGTGATCTTGCCACTGCACTCCAGACTAGATGACAGAGCAAGAGCCTGTCTCTAAAAACAAGCAAAAAAAAGTGTGTTTTTGTGTGGAGTTTCTTCTTTTAAAATTGTTCTCTCACCTTTATGGGGGAAGGTGACCATATGCTTAGGACGTGGATATTACTTTCCACGGTCCAGGGTCAATGTGTGGCCTCACTAACTGTCTTCACTCTAGTCACTGTCAGGGACACCATTCCTTTTCTCCCTCTGTCACTGTTCCTGGAGCCCCTTGAGATAATGTGTATGTGTGTGACTCTATTTGATGTTATGCTTTTTACCTGTAGTTTTGATGGAATCCATACAATGGCAAGAAGAACAATTTTAATATTCTAAGATATAGTTATTTTTTCTGGGACCTAGAAAATGGATTTTTTTTTGTATTTCTTTTTGATAAATCTATTTTTTTTCTGATGATGTCCTTGAAACTGAAGCAATCTTTCAAGACATTTTCCCTGAAATTTCTCTCTCCCCTTTTCTCTAGATGGCAGCCACCATAATGATACTGTATGTGTCCAAGCTAAATAAAATAATCCATTTCCCTGATTTTGACAAGAAAATCCCTGTAAAGGTATGTATGTGATGAAAAGTAGATATAGCTGTGATAGAGTTACAAATTGGTTTTAGAGTATAGGTCCATTTCTGTACACACTGCCTGCTTGCACTGGGTAGAAACTTCTTAATAAAGATTGTATGTCAGGCCGGGTGCAGTGGCTCACACCTATAATCCTAGCACTCTGGGAGGCCGAGGCGGGAGGATTGCTCGAGGTCAGGAGTTCGAAACCAGCCTGAGCAAGAGCGAGACCCCATCTCTACCATAAATAGAAAGAAATTAATTGGCCAACTGATATATATATAGAAAAAATTGGCCGGGCATGGTGGTGTATGCCTGCAGTCCCAGCTACTCGGGAGGCTGAGGCAGAAGGATTGCTGGAGCCCAGGAGTTTGAGGTTGCTGTGAGCTAGGCTGACGCCACAGCTCTCACTCTAGCCTGAACAACAAAGCGAGACTCTGTCTCAAAAAAAAAAAAAAAAAAGATTGCGTGCCATTCAGTTGTCCATTTATGTAACGCAGTCATAGTAAAAGTACATGCTTAACAATTGACATTAAATAAATACTATTCAGAAATGAAATGACAAAACTGTGAATTAGGGACTGGCAAACATTTTTGGTGAAGGGCCAGACCATCTCTGTCGCAGCTATTCAGCTCTGCCACCGTAGCGTGAAAGCAGCCCTACGTGACACATAAGTGAATCGGCATAGTTGTGTTCCAGTGAAACTTTGTTTACACAAACAAGAGCTAGGCTGGATTTGGCCCTTGGATCCCAGTTTGCTGGTCCTTGTTTTCAGTTTTCATTTTTAGTTTGGATTGATAAAAGCTGTAAGTAGAATGAAGAATGCAATTTTATGTACATAGAAAGACAATGTTTTCCATCATAGAACTAGAAACATAAACTCCGCCATGCTTTCCTGGGAGTGTAGAATGGAATCAACTTTTATTGAAGAGTTACTTGGTGCCAGATGTCAGGGCAGACACTTAATTCTTAGACGGATGCCATACAACAGGTGGTGTTACATGGATTATGATGGCGCTTGGGTTTAAACCAGACTGTCAATTCCTTGAGGGTGAGAACCCCACATGGCTTGTTCACTGCTATTTCTTTAATGTCTGGAAAAACGCTGGCATCTAGCACTGGATTATTTATCAGACAGACCAAATAAACACATGCTTACAGCATTAATAATCAGGGCTATCCACAAAGAAAGAAAAATAAAATTTGATGTATATGAAAGATATCAACCTAATCATTATGGGAGAAAATCAGAATATTGCTGGACTTGATTACATTTATTTTATAATATAGTATAATTTTTTAACCATTTTAATAAAAATTGTGAAATCTGATCTATACATAGAGGAAAAGGCATCGTACCTGAATGTGTAGTTGAATGAATAATTACCCTTGTATACCATTACTTAGGTCATGAAATGGGGTCACAAAGTCTTCCTTACCCACTCTTCTAACTTTTAAAACAATAATTCTCTTTTTTTCTTTGTAATTTTTCTAAATTTGGATGCATCCATAAATTCTATAGTTTAATTTTACCTGATTTTGAACTTTATATGAAGGGAATCAAACTCTATATATTCCTTTGCATAATGCTTCTTTCACTTAATATTATTATGGTAAGATTCGTCTACATTGTGTGTAGTTGTATTCTTTTATTTTCTTTGTGTATATATATATTGCAGTTTACTTACCTGTTTTACTGTTTGTGGTAATTTGGGTTGTTCCCAGTTTAGAGGCCAGAAAAATAAAAAGCACTATTCCTGTAGTTAACTTATAGCTTGGTCCTGGTGCACATGTGTTAGTCAGGGCTGCCATAACCAGGTACTACCACAAGCTGGGTGGCTTAAACAGCAGAAATGTATTTTCTCACAGTTCTGGAGGCTGGAAGTTTCAGATCAAAGTGCTAGCAACGTCAATTTCTGGTGAGGCTGCCTTCTTGCCATGTCCTCATATGGCTGTTCTTCCATGTTTATGCACTCCTGATGTCTCTTTTTCTTCTTCTAAGGACACCAGTCCTATCGGATGAGGGCCCCACCCTTATGACCTCATTTAACCTCAGTTACCTCCTTTAAGGCCCTATCTCCAAATGCAGTCACATTGGGGGTTAGAGCTTCAGGATATGAATCTGGGGGAGGGACACGATTCAGTCCATAACCGCACATACACATGGGTGAGGGAGTCCATGGAGGAGTGGAACTGCTGGCTCCTAGGGTATGCATAGCTTCAACTTTGGTAAGTAATGTCAGACTGTTCTTCAAAGTGGTTGTACCTAGTCACACTCCTGACAAAAGTGCGCAAAAGTCCCTGTTGCTTTACATTCTTGCCAATCCTAGGTGTGCCGGTCATTTTCAATGTTCCTAATTGGGTGGATGTGTAGTAAGCCCCTTATGGGCTTTAATTTGCATTTCCTTGATTACTGATGAGGTTGAGCACCTTTTCGTTTTTTAGTGCCTATTTGGATATTCTCTTTTGTGAAATGTCATCATTTTTATATGTGAAGGAAAAAGCTTATTGGAGTTCTAACCAAATCTTTTTTCTTTTTTTAATTGAAGCTGTTTCCTCTGCCTCTCCTCTACGTTGGAAACCACATAAGTGGATTATCAAGCACGAGTAAATTAAGGTAGAGTGCAGGATATTGGCTGGTGGGAGCTTCCTTACCCACGTGCTGCTAATGGTACAAAGACCAAGTATGATTTTTCAAATCAAAGTACATATAGATGGCTATAATAGTAATTTAACACATTGACTGCTACACTAGAAATAAAAGATTTTCCTTGGGGCCACAGTGTTTTATTATGAAAATGGAATAAAAACTTTAAAAACAAAGAGATATTTTCTAATTTAATGAAAAATTTTTTATTGTTTTCTGTGCATGAGTTATATGCAACTTGAAAAATAGTTCTCACGGCTCCTAAGGTAAAGAGATGTATGAGTCACATATTCAAAACTAGCGTGAGTTAAATACAACTCACATGGCAGTTAATGTGTTAATTAACATAAGTTTAATTTGCCAGTGTTTTTAGGAATGTTATAAAGCTTATATGTTTTCTTATATTGAAGTCTGAATATAGAATATGAGATCTGTGGTCATCATGGTAGAGAAGGTATGATTTATCTAGATTCGTTTTTATGAATATAGTTCTGTGTAACTTTTGGTTTCATACCAGTTTTATAAAACCAAGGACATTCTGTCAGGTTTGGTGTAGGTTAAGTTTGGTTCTGGGAAAAATAAATGACAGACATTTTCAAGTGTGTGCTGTCTACTTCTGGAACTTGCATCTGCATTTATTTCAGGGCCCTTTGCTTATAGGGCACATAATGGCTTATCCTTCTTTGAATGATATTAAATTGATCACGTCTACTTTTAATGATTTTAAGGGTCAATCTGGTCCCTTCCTTACAAAGTTCCCCATCAGTTTTTCCCCTAATGCTTTTAGTGGCCATTAGTGATCATTGTGAGAGCCACTATTTATTTGCAAGTTGCAAAATGCTGACCTTCCACACTTATGTTCTAAACTTTTTCAATAAAGACAAATTTTCACCATTTTGTAGAGGAAAGGCAGGATAAAAGTTTTATTTATAAATGTTCAGACTAATAAATGAGTGTCCTGTCACCTTCAGTGGTGGTTAGTAAGGGTTGTTTTTTATTTGTCTTTGTTTTTTCCTATCATTATGAACCTATAGATTTTTATTTATTTGATACAAGCTCCTTTATTAAATATGGGTTTTGCAAATATTTTCTCTCACTCCGTGGCTCATCTTTTCATTGACTTAACCCAGTCTTTCACAGAGCAGAAGTTTTTCATTTTAGTGAAGTTCCACAGTCAGTGCTGTTCTTTCATGGATCGTGCTTTTGGTGTCATCTTTGAAACTCATCACCAAACCTTATCATCATTATTAGTATGTTTTTTAGAGACAGGGTGTTGCTTTGTCACCCAGGCTGGAGTGCAGTGGCCTGATCATACACAGTTCACTGCAGCCTCCATCTCTCCCACCTCAGCCTCCCTACTGCTGGGACTGCAGGCACATGCCACCACAGCTGGCCTTATAGTTTGTGTTGTACCTTTAGGTCTGTGATCCAATTTCAGTTAATTTTTGTGACCAGTATAAGGTCTGTGTCTAGATTCAGTCTTTTTACACATGGATGTCCAGTTTTGAGCACAATTAGTTTAAAACATTATCCTTTCTTCATTGAATTGCCTTTGCTTTTTTTGTCAAAGATCAGTCAACTGTATTTGTGTGGGTCTATTTCTGGGCTGTTGGTTCTCTTTCATTCATGTATCTGTCTCATTTACTTGATATGTTTCAATTCATTAAGGAAATACTTCTTTTGATGCTCAAATCGTCCCAGCTCAGGCCAGTTTTATACCGAAGGCTGTGTCTCCCTGGTAAAAAAGAAAGAGAAAAAAACCTTTATTAAAAAGACAGATAACAACAAATATGGCAAGGATGTATAGAATTTATAATCCTTATACATTGCTGGTAGGGATGTAAAGAAGCCTTGTTGGAAAACAGCTCAGCAATTCCTCTTTATGTACTGGATACGGTTCCCTCATTATGTATCTGAATTGCAAAATTTTATCCTAGTCTGTGAGATGTCTTTTCACTCTCTCTTTTCTTTCTTTTCTTTGAGACAGAGTCTCGCTTTGTTGCCCAGGCTAGAGTGAGTGCCGTGGCATCAGCCTAGCTCACAGCAACCTCAAACTCCTGGGCTCAAGCAATTCTGGGACTACAGGCATGCACCACCATGCCCGGCTAATTTTTTCCTATATACATTAGTTGGCCAATTAATTTCTTTCTATTTATAGTAGAGAGGGGATCTCGCTCTTGCTCTGGCTGGTTTCGAACTCCTGACCTCGAGCAATCTGCCCACCTCGGCCTCTCAGAGTGCTAGGATTATAGGCTTGAGCCACCGCGCCCGGCCATCTTTTCACTCTCTTAATAGTGTGTTCTTTGAGGCACCAAAGTTTTAAACTTTAAAAATTTAAATAAGAATTAGGGTAAAATATACATAACATAAAATTTACCATTTTAACCATTTATACCTATACAATTCAGTAGCATTACATATATTCACAACATTGTGCAGCCATCAGCACGAAGCATGGTGGTGAAAAAGTTTCCAGAACTTTTTCACCATCCCAGACAGAAACCCTATACCCATTAAACAATAACTTCTCATTCTCCTTAGCGTCTGGTGGAATTGCTATTCCACTTTCTGTGTCTATGAATTTGCCTACTCTAGATGTCTCATACAGGTAGAATCATACAATATTTCTCCTTTTTGTCTGGCTTATTCACTTACCATATGTTTTCAAAGTTTATCCATATTGTAGCATGCATCAGAATTTCATTCCTTTTTAAGGCTGAATAATGTTCCTTGTGTGTGTGTGTGTGTGTATACATCTATATATATACACACATATATATACATCTATATATATACATATCATATACATGATATATATATATATATCACATTTTGTTATCCTTTTATAAAAGTTTTTAATTTTGAGGGAGTCTAATTTATCTATTTTTTTCTTTTGTTGCCTGTGCTTTTGGGTGTTTTACATAAGACTTTGCCTAGCTTAAGGTCACAAAGATTTGCTCCTATGGTTTCTTCTAAGAGTTTTATAGTTTTATTTTTTTTTGTTTTTTTTTTGAGACAGAGTCTCGCTTGTTGCCCAGGCTAGAGTGAGTGCCGTGGCATCAGCCTAGCTCACAGCAACCTCAAACTCCTGGGCTCAAGCGATCCTACTGCCTCAGCCTCCCGAGTAGCTGGGACTACAGGCATGCGCCACCATGCCCGGCTAATTTTTTGTATATATATATTTTAGTTGGTCAATTAATTTATTTCTATTTTTGGTAGAGACGGGGTCTCACTCAGGCTGGTTTCGAACTCCTGACCTTGAGCAATCCGCCCGCCTCGGCCTCCCAAAGTGCTAGGATTACAGGCGTGAGCCACCGCGCCCGGCCCTTTTGTGTTGTTTTAAAGGACTATCCGATGCTGGGTAATTTATAAAGAAAAAAGGAAAAGAGGTTTTATTTGGCTCACGGTTCTGCAGGCTGTACAAGAAGTATAGCACCAGGATCTACTTCTGGTGAGGGCTTTAGGCTGTTTCCACTCATGGCAGAAGGGGAATGGGAGCCTGTGTATACAGAAATTGCATCACATGGTGAGAAGATGTGTGTGTGTGTGTGTGTGTGTGTGTGTTTGAGAGAGAGAGAGACAGAGAGACAGAGAGAGAGACAGACAGACAGAGAGAGAGGAGGTGTCAGGGTATGGGAACTAACAGAGTGAGAATTCACTTGCCCCCACCCCCACCAGAGGGTATTTATCTATTCATGAGGGATCTGACCCCGTGACCCAAACACCTCTCACTAGGCCCACCCTTAACACTGGGGATCAAATTTCAACATGAGGTTTGGAGGCTCACATATCCAAACTATAGCAACCTGTGTGTCTATTTGGACAATCTTTCCATTTTCACATGAAGTCTTCCAATCCATGAACAAACATGGAGTATTTTTCCATTTATTTAGGTCCCCTCTAATTTCTTTTAACAATGTTTTGTCAGTTTCAGCACACAGTCTTATACTTATTTTGTTAAATTTATTCCTAAGAACTTTACTCTTTCTGATGCTATCATAAGTGGAATTGCTTTGTTAATTTCATTTTTGGATTGCTCATTGCTAGTGTATAGAAGTACAGTTGATTTTTATGTATTCATTTTGTTTCCTGTATACTTGCTTGACTCATTTATCAGTTCTAATACTTTTTTAGTGGCTCCCTTAGGACTTTCTCTATATAAGAGCTCTCTATGCAAGTAGAGATAGCTTTATTTATTCCTTCCCAAATTGGATGTTTGTTCATTTGTTTTTTTGCCTAATTGCCCTGTCTAGAGCCTCGGGTACAATGTTGAATAGATGTAGTGATGAGAATGAATATCCTGATGTTGTTCTTGATCTTAGGGGGAAATCATTCAGCTTTTAATTAATACCATTAAGTATTCTTTGTTTTTAAAAGGCATCATCTAAAAATCAGCTTTTTGAACTTCGTTGAAAATATATGACTTTTTCTGTTGTTGCTTGCTTTGAGAAAGATAATTTAAGCAAGTCTCATAAAACATCTTTAAGTGTGGATATAAAGTTCTTGAAAATTCTTTCTTCACCTGCTCTCTGGACACAGTGTCACCGATGATGTGAAGCCCATCCTCAGGTCTCACGGGACAGGACGGGCTTGCCCACTCTCCCTCCCGGTGGTCCCTCTGCCCCTGGCTCTCCTCGCCCAGCTCACTGTCTTCTCAGTCTGTTGGCCGTGTATTGAGCTGTATCCTGGAATCTCTAGGTGTTTACGAGTGGGTGAAAGGTTCTTAAGTATATCTTTTTTAAGGCGATGTGGCCTCATTACATAAAGTTTGGAGGAAAAAAATAGCCCACAGTTTCATCTTTTAATATGCAATTTTACACTTGATTTTAGCCAGAAGGCTGAGAAGTGATTAACATGCAAGTTGAAACACTCATTTAAAGTCTTTTTCCATACACAGAATGTCTCGTTAGAGTCCTAAACTACATTGTTTTGTATCCTTTTTTTAATTTAGTATTTATTTTCCAATAGTCTTTGTATTATGGAATTATGTGTATCATGTTCCCTTAGGTAAATGTGCCATAATTTATTTGACATTGCTTTGTTGTCTGACATTTAGTCTGTTTCTGATTTTTTCCCAAAGATGCCGCAGTGAAAACATTTATGCACCTGTTTTTTTCTTTCTTTTGGATTACTGCCTTAGGATAAGTTTCCCAACAAGAAATAATTAGGTCAAAGGTTAAGACCACTTACTATCATACATAGTCCCAGCTTGATTTGTCAAAAGATGTATTGGTTCACACTGTGAACTAGTTTTAGCACAATCTTTGTAGCAGTTGGATGGTATGGTGTTTTAAGTGGCTGATAAGTGAAAGTGGTAAAATAATTTAATTTTCATTTCTTTTTATTATTTAATGTTTTTTGCTAATGGCACCTGTGAGAATTGAGGTTAATTCCTTATATGTGTTTAATTTGTAAAATTAGTATGCTTAATTAAAAATGTGTTTTTTAAAAAAACCCACCCACACTTGGTTTCTGATGTTATACTTGAATTTTTTCCTGACAGCTTGCCGATGTTCACCGTCCTCAGGAAATTTACCATTCCACTTACTTTGCTCCTGGAAACCATCATACTCGGGTGATTTTTGTTTTTCCTCCAGTCCATGTGTCCCCAGCCCCTACATTATTTTTCCCCAGCAAATTCTCACCATCTAGTCATCTTTCCAAATAGTCAATTTGAATTGCTAGTTGCAATAACTTAAGGACAAATTCACTTAAAAGCCACTGCCTGTTTCTGTGATTCCCTAAGAACTTAATGAGGGATTTTTTACATTGTAATTTTACCTTTGACAAGTAATGCATGTTTGTGGTAGAAAACTGCAAAAAAAGGAAAAAAGAAACCACTCCAAAACAGACGTAAATCTGTTTCCTGAGCCGGATGGAATATACGGTAGTTTTGGAATACAGCAGAAAAATTTCCCATGTGTGCGTACAGGAGTGCAGGATATCAATTCTGAGGCAGCTATTATGATATAACATCAGGATAAATCAATCTTTGTAGTGTTGGTATAAAAATTTCTCATAAGAAGAGTCTCGTATCCAGAACAGTGATTCTTGAATTTGCTGTGAAGATTATTTAGCAATGAATTTTGGTTGATGGTCCAATGTTTTAAGCCCTAGTATTGAATTTTATCTTAAATCTTTTAATGCTCATTATAAGTCCGTGCAACCTAGACCTTTGAGCAAGAGTTCTTCTATATTTTGTCCCAGCATCTCTCTAGTGAGAACACACAAATCAGTTTATAATTAGATTAAGAAAACTAAGAAACAATGTAAATTTAGTCTGACTTAGACACACTTTCAGTGCTTTCTCTACATAAAGCCTTGTCCATTAGGTTTTAGCTATAAAACTGTTAATGTCTATTTTATGTTTTAAATGTCTTTTATATGTTTAAAAATATAACCTATATTTCAAATTTTTCCCTCTCCTCCCCCTCCCCTTTCTTATTTATTTATTTATCACAGGAAGCAGTATTCACTGAACATCATTGTCAGTGTCTTTGCCATCATTCTTGGGGCTTTCATAGCAGCTGGGTAAGACTCTGGACTGTTTCTGCTCAATAACTTCTTTGTGTCTTTGACAATAGGCCCAGCCCTGTCCTCAGTTTTTCATTTTCCATCTGGCTGCAGCCGAATTGGGCATCCAAGAGACAAATCTGTTGAAGTTAGTGGAATCCCCATGTGTTCCTGTGAAAGTCAAACTGGGTCTCCTGTTGGCCAGGACATTTCTGAGAATGTATAGAGAGAGCATTGCAAGATGTTACTAGAACTTTGCTCCACAAAAATCAGCAATTGCTGAATGTTTATCTTCAGTATAAAAATTTTTACTTGAGAAGTTCTTAGGCATTTGATTAATAATAACAGATTTCTAAAGCCCTTGTACGCTGATCTGTTTTAGTATCCCATGATACCTTAGCAGTCGCTGTTTCCAGTGGTAGAATGCTATCACTAAATGCATGGTATGTTTGGAATATGAGCAATACTGGTGCCTGACTACTGCTTTAGTCTTTAATCCACAAGAGCAGGAATGAGGGGCTCCAAGTCTGCATTTGCAAGCGTGTCCTCAGATCGCTGTCTGTTATAACACGGTGGGGATGCATGTGCTCGGTTTCGTTCCCTCAGTCAAAACTAGCTCTGCCTTTCTCAGACGTTTCTCAGCCTCTCTGTGCCCCAGTTTCCTCATCTGTAAAGGTGGCAATAGAAAATACATCTACTTGAGTCAAGGGAAGAAAGAAAAGGTTGGAGGAATTTCAGTTAAACTTGTTTTGTTAACTCATTTTGACCTGAGGATTCTGGATCATGAACTGAGTGTTAAGTGAGAGTGTCCTCTGCAGAGCGGGATGCCTGGACCTTATTCTAGGCTCCGCACTTGCTGGGTGTATAGTCAGGGCAGAGTGGTTTAACCTCCCTGTGCCTTAGTTATTTCAACTGTAAAACAGAGATTAAAATAGCAGCCACCTCACAGGGTCATTTGAGGTATGCCAGGCTTCCTGCTGGGAGTGGGGGTCCAGCAATTATCGAAACGGACAAGAATGCTTCCCCTCGTGGAGCTTCCATTCTAGATGGTGGAGACAGACGATAAGCAAAAGAAATAGGTGAAAAAAATATACTCTAGATGGTGACAGGTATTATTAGCAATGATAATGATGTTTATTATTGTAAATGTATTCAGTCCCTTGTGTAGACCAAGCTTCATTATTATTAATAATGTTTCCATTTCATCCGTACCTCCCTCCTCCCTGTCTTAACGGTGGGCTGAGTTTGTCCCCTTGACGGCTCGTGTCTTTGGTGTCAGCGCTCTGTTTCACGTCTTTGGTACAGTGCCAGCACCACGCTGAACAGCCGCGCTCAGAGCCTGTTTCAGCCGCGAAGACTTTTGCTGGAATGAGATCATATGAGTAAAGGGGCTGACAAGGGAGGGGCTCTGTGAAAGATGCCACAGGAGATAAGGGGATAAGGGGGGAAGCTTTCTCTCTGCCCTCTGAAGGTTCATTAAAGAAGGAACCGAAAGGCCCCGTGGGCCTGTTCATCTATCAGAGTGTTAAGCAAACCAGAGTATTTCAGCGTTCCTTTGGCTTCAACAGAGATGACCAGCTGAAGATCCTGATCTTGAATGAGATTATCAATGGCTTTTTTATTCTAACTTATCAGTGTTATGGCAAAGCCCGTACCCTCAAGTCTGGCTACTGGAAAGATTTATATAAAGTCATATGCGGCCGGGCATGGCGGCTCACACCCGTAATCTTAGCACTCTGGGAGGCCGAGGCGGGAGGATCGCTTGAGCTCAGGAGTTTGGGAACAAAGGACTATCTGATGCTGGGATAATTTATAAAGAAAAAGGAAAAGAGGTTTTTTTGGCTCACGGTTCTGCAGGCTGTACAAGAAGCATAGCACCAGGATCTACTTCTGGTGAGGCTTTAGGCTGTTTCCACTCATGGCAGAAGGGGAATGGAGCCTGTGTATCAGAAATTGCATCACATGGTGAGAAGATGTGTGTGTGTGTGTGTGTGTGTGTGTGTGTGTGTTTGGGAGAGAAGACAGAGAGACAGAGAGAGAGACAGACAGACAGAGAGAGAGGAGGTTGTCAGGGTATGGGAACTAACAGGTGAGAATTCACTTGCCCCCACCCCCACCAGAGGTATTTATCTATTCATGAGGGATCTGACCCCGTGACCCAAACACCTTCCACATAGCCCACCCTTAACACTGGGGATCAAATTTCAACATGAGTTTGGAGGCTCCAATATCCAAACTATAGCAACCTGTGTGTCTATTTGGACAATCTTTCCATTTTCACATGAAGTCTTCCAATCCATGAACAAACATGGAGTATTTTCCATTTATTTAGGTCCCCTCTAATTTCTTTTAACAATGTTTTGTCATTTTCAGCACACAGTCTTACACTTATTTTGTTAAATTTATTCCTAAGAACTTTACTCTTTCTGATGCTATCATAAGTGGAATTGCTTTGTTAATTTCATTTTTGGATGCCATTGCTAGTGTATAGAAGTACAGTTGATTTTATGTATTCATTTGTTTCCTGTATACTGCTTGACTCATTTATCAGTTCTAATACTTTTTTAGTGGCTCCCTTAGGACTTCTCTATATAAGGCCTCTATGCAAGTAGAGATAGCTTTATTATTCCTTCCCAAATTGGATGTTTGTTCATTTGTTTTTTGCCTAATTGCCCTGTCTAGATCCTCAGGTACAATGTTGAATAGATGTAGTGATGAGAATGAATATCCTTCTGATCTTAGGGGGAAATCATTCAGCTTTTAATTATACATCTTAAGGATTCTTTGTTTTTAAAAGGCATCATCTAAAAATCAGCTTTTTGAACTTCGTTGAAAATATATGACTTTTTTTTGTGTTGCTTGCTTTGAGAAAGATATTTAAGCAAGTCTCATAAAACATCTTTAAGTGTGGATATAAAGTTCTTGAAAATTCTTTCTTCACCTGCTCTCCTGGACACAGTGTCACTGATGATGTGAAGCCCATCCTCAGGTCTCACCGGGACAGGACGGGCTTGCCCACTCTCCCTCCCGGTGGTCCTCTGGCCCTGGCTCTCCTTGCCCAGCTAGCTCACTGTCTTCTCAGTCTGTTGGCCGTATTGAGCTGTATCCTGGAATCTCTAGGTGTTTACGAGTGGGTGAAAGGTTCTTAAGTATATCTTTTTTTAAGGCGATGTGCCTCATTACATAAAGTTTGGAGGAAAAAATAGCCACAGTTTCATCTTTTAATATGCAATTTTACACTTGATTTTAGCCAGAGCGCTGAGAAGTGATTAACATGCAAGTTGAAACACTCATTTAAAGTCTTTTTCCATACACAGAATGTCTCTTGTTAGAGTCCTAAACTACATTGTTTTGTATCCTTTTTTTAATTTAGTATTTATTTTCCATAGTCTTTGTATTACGGAATTATGTGTATCATGTTCCTTAGGTAAATGTGCATAATTTATTTGACATTGCTTTGTTGTCTGACATTTAGTCTGTTTCTGATTTTTTCCCAAAGATGCGCAGTGAAAACATTTTATGCACTGTTTTTCTTTCTTTTGGATTACTGCCTTAGGATAAGTTTCCAACAAGAAATAATTAGGTCAAAGGTTAAACCTTACTATCATACATAGTCCCAGCTTGATTTGTCAAAAGATGTATTGGTTCACACTGTGAACAGTTTTAGCACAATCTTTGTAGCAGTTGTGGTGGTGTTTAAGTGGCTGATAAGTGAAAGTGGTAAAATAATTTAATTTCTTTCTTTTTATTATTTAATGTTTTTTGCTAATGGCACCTGTGAGAATTGAGGTTAATTCCTTATATGTGTTTAATTTGTAAAATTAGTATGCTTAATTAAAAATGTGTTTTTTAAAAAAACCCACCCACACTTGGTATCGTGATGTTATACTTGAATTTTTTCCTGACAGCTTGCGATGTTCACCGTCCTCAGGAAATTTACCATTCCACTTACTTTGCTCCTGGAAACATCATACTCGGCGTGATTTTTGTTTTTTCCTCCAGTCCATGTGTCCCCAGCCCCTACATTATTTTTCCCCAGCAAATTCTCACCATCATGTCATCTTTCCAAATAGTCAATTTGAATTGCTAGTTGCAATAACTTAAGGACAATTCACTTAAAAGCCACTGCCTGTTTCTGTGATTCCTAAGAACTTAATGAGGGATTTTTTACATGTAATTTTACCTTTGACAAGTAATGCATTGGTTTGGTTTTATAGTTTTAGAACCTATATTTAGGATATAGGATATTGATATATTTGTGTTAATCTTAAAAAAAATTTCTTTTTTAGAGTTGAGGTCTTACCCAGGCTGGAGTACAGTGTCTATTCGTAGGTGTAGATGTACACTACAGCATTGAACTCCTGGCCTCAAGTGATCCTCCCGCCTCAGCCTTTTGAGTAGCTGGGATGATAGGCATGCATCGCTGTGCCTGACTCCTGGTTAATTTTTTATATATGGTGTGAGGCAGGAGTTAAAATTCATTCTTTTGCACATGGAATGTTCAGTTGTCCCAGCACCATTTGTCGAAAAGGGTATTTTTTCCAATTGTATTGTTTTGGCACCCTTGTTGAAAATCATTTGACCATAATTGTTAGGATTTATTTCTTGACACTGTATTTTAGTCCATTGATTATAGATGTGTCCTTAAACCAATAATAGATAGTCTTGATAACCATAGCTTTGGAGTAAGTTTTGAAATTGGGACGTGTAAGTATACCAACTTTGTTCTCTTTTCAGATTGTTTTGGCTTTCTGGTTCCCTTGCATTTCCTTATTTATTTAAAATCAGCTTGTCAATTTCTACACAAACACACACACACATACACACACACACACACACTCACACCAGCTGAGATTTTGATAGGGATTGTGCTGAATCTGTGTCTTAGTCCTTTTGTGTTGTTTTTTTTTTTTTTTTTTTTTTTTGAGCACACGAGTCTCACTTTGTTGCCCCATGCTAGAAGTGAGTGCCGTCTGGCGTCAGCCTGGCTCAGCAACCTCATCTCCGGGCGCTCAGCG